AGCAACCTCCTCATTCTCAAGGTGCCTGTGGCTCTTTTCACGCTGTTCTTCGCACCTGTGTGCCATACACAGTGGTTATTTTATTCCTTGGCGGAGACTGCCAATTGTGACACTTACTTATAAGCCACCAAGCCCTGAACATTCAGCACAGATCACACAATTAATTTTATTTTTGCCCTCAGCCAGATTTCAAACAAAGACCCCAGAGATGTCTGGAAAATTAATTTATTAAAAAGCAATAGCTTGATAATACACACGATGACAGAAGAAAAGAGTATGTTCAATATCTTATAAAACAGTTGGCAATCACATAATAGAGTGTTCATTGTCAATTTAGTAGCTTGTCTCATTATGCTCAGCAAATAGTTGTAAAACAGTGTATTATTCATGAACCAACATGCTTTAATTACTTGTAGTGCGCATTTATTTCTCAAATGCAATCTGAGTTAGATTCATCTAGAAAAGCAACCCATTTTGCAAAAGTCAGTTTTAGGACCTCCAGAGAAATAACCAGAAATTGGGTTTCGCAGCCTGGAAATGCAAACTGGCCAAGCCCACGCCTTTGCCCTAGCAGAAAGCAGGTAGTGGGAGCCCCTGACTTTAGATCATCCAGCAAAGGGTTAGCTGATACCATCCTCAGCTGTGGATTCCACACAGTGGTGTGTGGCTCCCCTAAGCGAGTCCTGCCTGAGGTGGGTAGGATCTGATTCTGCCACCTAAGTCTCTTTATGAGCCTGATCACGTAACTTATTCTCAATGGGATATAAGCAGACAGCAGAGCAGGGGCTTGAACTGCTCTTGCATGTCTGGACATGCCCTTCTACACATTCCTGCCATTCACCAAGAGAGAACCATTCCCCAGGGGACCAGGAGTCCAAGAAAGACAAAGACACATTGAGTAGCCACGGACTTAATTCATAGCCTGGAGCCAACCCAGCTGGGATCAGCTGACCCTCAGCCTACAGACAGATGCAAAAGTGATGACAATGACTGCTGTTTTAAGCCAGTACATTTTGGGGGTGATTTGTTATGCAGCCGAAGCTCACCGAGAAAATGGCATATCCAGATTTTACTTCGGGATGCTCGGGGGACACCCTCAAAGCAGCTGGCAGTCAATTTACCTCGACTGCACTTGGTCTAGAGGATGTTTGGCCCACAGGACTATAAGCTTAAAAGAGAAGTCAGACATAGTGAATAAAGAAACCAAAATTTGCAGAGGAGGGGGAATCACTTGAAGCCAGGAGTTTGGGGCAACCCTGGGCAACATAGCAGGATGCATAAAAAAAATTAGCTGGGCACAGTAGCACACACCTGTACTCCCAGCTACTCTCGAGGCTGAGGTGGGGGGATCACTTGAGCCCAGGAGTTTGAGGGACTACTGAACCACTGCAATCCACCCTGTTTCTAAAAAAAAATCTATTGAAAGCGACAAGGCAGCCACTCTCACTATGGATCTTGATTTTCATCAAAGTGCTTCTCATATGGGCAACTCTAGGCACTGGCTCTAGGGTAACAGAAGGAGAAACTAGTTAGCAATGGGTGACAAGTCTTCACCTCAGTGATGGGAGGTGGGCTATACTCTAAAAATCCCTGGGCAGTAAGCATTAAAAATAATGGCGAAAAATGCGCAGCACCATGGGCACACAACTTGCGTTAGCAGCAGTAACGGTTGTTATTGCCTTAGCTATTCACCAACAGTGGAATTCAAAAGCAGGAGGAGAGCAGGAAGCATCCTCTCCCATGCCTCACTGCAAGTCAAGCCGCCCCAGAATCCAGGGAGTGCTTCCCGCCCCTCTCTCAAATGGTTCTCTTCAGTCAGACCAGCAGTCCTGTCACACAGTCACAGCCTGCGGAGTCCACAGGAATCTCAGCCGGGGGCTGAAACTCCGATACTCCTATAGTCCACGCTGGATGAACCTTGGCTGGTGGGCCCCTGGAGTGAACTTCCACAGCGAGAAGAAGCTCTTACAATGAAAGCACTTGACTTCCAAGCTGAACTGCCTCCTGGTGTCTCTCCTTGCCATACCTTCTGTGACCATCCCAGTTAATGCTGGTGTTTGGGCAATAATGTAACACAGCCTGCGTCCTCTGCCTGGGGTCTCCTTTCCCTCTCTCTCCTTCCTCCAGGCCCACTGAGGGAAGCTCCTGTACATCCTCCAAGAGCCACGTCCTGGGAGTCTTCTAGTTGATTCCCCAGGAAAAGTCAAGCATTCCTGCCTTTGGTTCCACAGAATCCTGCACACACTTTTCTAGTACTAAGTGGCCGTGCTGTTTGGCTTTGTGTGTTTACTCCTGTTTCTCCCATTCATCCACAAGATCTTTGAGGACACAGGGTACATCTCACTCCCTTTATACAATACTGACACACAGAAGGGGCTCAGGAGATACTGCGAACAAATTAGGGAATACTCTTGTCAAGGCCGGCCTCCAAGGCTGGACAGGAGGCCCTGGTCCCTTTCCTTGCCCTCTGAGTAGGGCTTCTCCAGGCCCCGCTCCTTTCCAAATCTCCAGGTCCCCAGCATTCCCCAGTGAGGAAGTGGAAGCTCATCATAGTTCGTTCTTATCAGGAGTTAAAAAAAGAAAAGTGCACGCCATCTCGATGACTCCAGGCCCTCTGGGGACAACCTATACGAGGTTTACAGCCATAGGGAGCACACGAGGACATTTCTAATTAAATTCTTTACTGCTTCTACTTGACCTCATTTCAACTGTGCCATAAATCTTGAAAAAAAAATTCAAATTCCAAATTTTAAATAATGCTTATGAGTTGGTTTGGAACAGGGACTCTCCTTATTAACCCAATAGCTGCACATACTTGGATTGCCAGAGTGTATCATGAGACAGGGTCAGTTAAAGGCCAGTGGCCATTTCAATTAAAATGTTTTCAAAGATTTCTAAATAATAAACTGGTCTGGCGTATAATTACAGAAGAAATAATAATTTAAGAAAACCCTCATAATCCTGTGTATAATGTTACAGCACACGGTTGGTGTCAACACGCAAAGACAAATACCTCCCCGAGACAGGGAGCCGCAGAAACAATTAAAGTATAAATCCCAGGCACCATTAACACTCAGGCTCTATTAGCTGACTTTGTCTTTGGTCACATTAAAGCCTCCTGGAGTTTGCTGGTGGCTTGGGAGGGAAGGGTTCTGGACCTACTTAAATGACCATATAACTCCACTCAGTAAATCTCTCCTGTAATTGGCTAATAGGCACACACTTTGGCAAATAACCATTGGGGAAGGCTGGTTGGAGGATTTCTCCCCCAACTTCTTTCTCACTTCCCGTGGTTCTTCTGGCTTAGAGGGTGGTTTGCATTCACACATCTCCTGGCCTTTCAGAGGTATGGAGACCTGGAAATTCTGAGTAGGTGAGTTCCATCTCAGAGGACACTCATGGGAAAGTGTGCTGTGCTGCTGAAACTCTGATCTATCGTAGAGTTTCTCAGCTTCTGCACTGTTGACATTTGGGGCTGGCTCACTCTGTTGTAGGCAGCGGTACTGTGTATTCGCAGGATGTTTACTGTCATTTCTGCCCTTGACCCACCAGTGGCTAGCAGTGACAGTGCACCGTCTTGACAATCCAAAATATTTCTAGACACTGACAAATGTCCCATGGGGGGCACCATCACCCCCACTGGGGGACCCCTGGTCTAGCCAGATGTACCCAGGTCACGTGGGCTCAGCATCCCATCATGGTACATCGTGACAGTCCAGCATCTCCTCTTGGACGGGAATCTTCCTCCTGACTTGCTTCTCTACTTACCTGGCTTGTGTCATCTTTGACCTTGTGGATTTTGCTCCTATTCAGTTTCTTCTCTCCCACAGGCATGCAGTTCCTGGTTTCTCAGACTTTGACCTGCAGTCATCAGCAAAGGATCTTGACTCTGATCCTGAGGGTCTTCCTTCTTGAAGTCACCTACAGAACTCAACCTTTGCCTCTAGTCTCAAAGGACAGAGCCCAGCATCCCCATGACTGCTGAAGATGACAGCTTTGTAAATGAACACCAGCTTCTCCCAGGACCCAAACTGTCCCTGGTTCGAAGAGATGCCAAAATGGAAGCTTTATGCTTCTTTTCAGGCTCTTGGAAGGAGACACCCTCTGTCCTTCATTTACAGGTTCCCTTTGTATCTAGAAGTGGGCGGCACTGTAGTTCATGAGCCTTTTTGACTTATTTGAGTATGTAGTTTATTTCTTTTAGGAGTCTATGATCACCTATTAAAGAAAGTGGGATTTGGGCTATTCTGTGATCTTATACCAAAATGTAACACTCACTTGGTGCTGTTGTGGCCAGACTGTTTTCACTGTCACATCTGAAGCTTAAAGTCTCCATGGGAATGCAAGGTACCAGATAGAAAGATTCTCTAGGAATGGGAATGGGGTTGCCAGATTAAAACACAGAATATTCGATAGGGCTGGCAAAATAGGAACAGCTCTGGTCTGTAGCTCCCACAGAAATGGCCACAGAAGACGGGTGATTTCTGCATTTCCAACGGAGGTAACTGGTTCATCTCACTGGGACTGGTTGGACAGTGGGTGCAGCCCATGGAGGATAAGCCAAAGCCGGGTGGGGCTCACCTCACCCATGAAACACAAGGAGTCAGGGGATCTTCCTCTCCCAGCCAAGGAAAGGCATAAGAGACAGTGCTGGGAGGAACAGTGCAGTCCAGCCCAAATACTGCACTTTCCCTACAGTCTTTGCAACAGGCAGACCAGGAAATTCCTTCTGGTGCCAACGCCACCAGGACCCTGGGTTTCCAGCACAAAACTGGGTGGCCATTTGGCAGACACTGAGCTAGCTCCAGGAGTTTTTTATTTCCCCAAACTCCAGTGGCACCTAGAATGCCAACGACACAGAACTCTTCACTCCCCTGGAAAGGGGACTGAAGCCAGGAAGCCAAGTGGTCTGGCTTGGCAGGTTCCACCCCAACAGAGCCCAGCAAGCTAAGATCCACTGGCTTGAAATTCTCCTTGCCAGCACAGCAGTCTGAGGTCACCTGGGACACTCGAGCTTGGCGGGGGGAGGGGCATCCACCATTGCTGAGGCTTGAGCACCTGGTTTTCTCCTCACTGCATAAACAAAGCCTCTGGGAACTCTGAACTGGGAGGAGCCCACCACAGCTCAGCAAGGCCACTATGGCAGGATGCCTATCTAGATTATTTCCTTTCTGGGCAGGGCATCTCTGAAAAAAAGGCAGCAGCCCCAGTCAGGAACTTATAGATGAAACCCTCATCTCCCTGGGACAGAGCACCTGGAGGAAGGGGTGGCTGTGGGTGCAGCGTCAACAGACTTAAATGTCCCTGCCTGATAGCTCTGACTGGAGCAGCAGATCTCCCAGCATAGCATTTGAGCTCTCATAAGGGACAGGCTTCCTCCTCAAGCGGTCCCTGACTCCCATGTATCCTGACAGGGAGACACCTCCCAGCAGGGGCTGACAGACACCTCATACAGAAGAGCTCTGGCTGGCATTTGGCAGGTGCTCCTCTGGGATGAAGCTTCCAGAGGAAGGAATAGGCAGCAATCTTTGCTGTTCTGCAGCCTCCGCTGGTGATACCCAAGCAAACAGGGTCTGGAGTGGACCTCCAGCAAACTCCAGCAGACTTGCAAAGGAGGGGCCTGACTGTTAGAAGGAAAACCAAAAAACACAAAGGAATAATATCAACATCTACAAAAAGGATGTCCACTCAGAGATTCCATTTGAAGGTCACCAACGTCAAAGACCACAGGTAGATAAAGCCACAAAGATGGGGAGAAACCAATGCAAAAAGGCTGAAAATTCCAAAAACCAAAACGCCTCTTCTCCTCCAAAGGATCACAACTCCTTGCCAGCAAGGAAACAAAACTGGACAGAAAATGAGTTTGATAAACTGACAGAAGTAGGCTTCAGAAGGTGGGTACTAACACACCCCTCCAAGCTAAAGGAGCATGTTCTAACCCAATACAAACAATCTAAGAACCTTGAAAAGGGGTTAGAGGAAGTGCTAATTAGAATAACTAGTGTAGGGAAGAAAATAAATGACCTGATAGAGCTGAAAAACACAGAACTAGAACTAAGTGAAGCATATACAAGTATCAAAAGCTGAATCAATCAAGCAGAAGAAAGCTTATCAGAGATTGAAGATCAACTCAATGAAATAAAGCAAGAAGACAAGATGAGAGAAAAAAAGAGTGAAAAGAAATGAACAAAGCCTCCAAGAAATATGAGACTATGTGAAAAGGCCAAATCTACATTTGACTGGTGTACCTAAAAGTGACAGGGAGAATGCAACCAAGCTGGAAAATACTCTTCAAGATATTATCCAGGAGAATTTCCCCAACCAAGCAAAGAAAGCCAATATTCAAATTTGGGAAATACAGAGACCACCACAAAGATACTCACTGAGAAGAGCAACCCCAAGACACATAATCCTCAGATTCACCAAGGTTGAAATGAAGAAAAAAAAATGTTAAGGGAAGCCAGAGAGAAAGCATGGGCTATTCACAAAGGGAAGCCCATCAGACTAAAAGTGGATCTCTCAGCAGAAACCCTACAAGCCTGAAGAGAGTGGGGGTCAATATCCAACATTCTTAAAAAAGATTTTTCAACCCCAAATTTCATATCCAGCCAAACTAAACTTCATAAGCAAAGGAGAAATAAAATCCTTTATGGACAAGGAAATGCTGAGAGATTTTGTTACCAACAGATGGACTTACAACAGGCCAAATGCCCCAATTAAAAGACACAGACTTACAAATTGGATAAAGAGTCAAGGTCCATAGGTGTGCTATATTCAGGAGACCCACCTCATGTGCAAAGACGCACATAGGCTCAAAATAAAGGGATGGAGGAAGATTTGCTAAGCAAATGCAAAGAAAAAAAAGCAGGGGTTGCAATCCTTGTCTCTGTTAAAACAGACTTTAAACCAACAAAGATCAAAAGATACAAAAAATGGCATGACATAATGGTAAAGGTATCGGTGCAACAAGCAGAGTTAACTATCCTAAATACATATGCACCCAATACAGGGGTACCGATTCATAAAGCAAGTTCTTAGAGACCTACAAAGAGATTTAGACTCCCGCACAATAGTAGTGGGGGGCTTTAACACCCCACTGTCAATATTAGATCAATGAGACAGAAAATTAACAAGGATATCCAGCACTAGATCTCAGCCGTAGACCAAGGGGATCTAATAGACATCTACAGAACTCTCCACTCCAAATCAACAAAATACACATTTTTCAGAGCATCGCATTGCACTTATTCTAAAATTGACCACACAGTTGGATATAAAATACTCCTCAGCCAATGCAAAAGAACAGAAATCATAACAAACAATCTCTCAGACCACAGTGCAATCAAATTAGAACTCAGGAATAAGAAACTCACTCAAAACTGCACAACTACATGGAAACTGAACAATCTGCTCCTGAATGACTATGAGGTAAATAATGAAATTGAGGAAGACATAAAGATGTTATTTGAAACCAATGAGAACAAAGACACAACGTACCAGCATCTCTGGGACACATTTAAAGCAGTGTATAGAGATAAATTTATAGCACTAAATGCCCACAAGAGAAAGCAGGAAAGATCTAAAATTGACACACTAATACCACAATTAGAAGCACTAGAGAAGCAAGAGCAAACACATTCAAAAGCTAGCAAAAGACAGTAAATATGATTAGAGCAGAACTGAAGGAGATGGATACACAATAAACACCTCAAAATCAGTGAATCCGGAAGCTGTTTTTTTTTTTTTTATTTTTTTTTTTTAAAGACAAACAAAATAGATAGACCACTAGCCAGGCTAATAAAGAAGAATAGAGAGAAGAATTAAATAGACACAATATAATATGATAAAGGAAATATCACTATTGATCACATGGAAATATAAACTACCATCAGAGAATACTATAAACACCTCTACACAAATAAACTAGAAAATCTAGAAGAAATGGCTAAATTCCTGGACATATACACCCTACCAAGACTAAACTAAATAGATGTTGAATCCCTGAATAGACTAATAAGTTCTGAAATTGAGGCAGTAATTAACAACCTACAAACCAAAAAAAGTCCAGGACCAGACGAAATCACAGCTGAATTTTACCAGAGGCGCAAAGAGAAGTGGGTACTGTTCCTTCTGAAACTGTTCCGAACAATATAAAAAGGTAGAATCCTTCCAAACTCATCTTATGAGACCAGTACCATCTTCATACCAACATCTCACAGAGACACAACAAAAAAAATTTCAGGCCAATATCCCTGATGAACATTGATGCGAAAATCCTCAATACTGGCAAACTGAATCCAGCAGCACAGCAAAAAGCTTATGCACCATGATCAAGTTGGCTTCATCACTGGGATGCAAGGCTAGTTCAATATATGCAAATCAATAAACATAATCCATCACACAAACAGAACCAATGACAAACACCACGTGATTATCTCAATAGATGCAGAAAAGGCCTTCAACAAAATTCAACACCGCTTCATGCTAAAAACTCTCAATAAACTAGGTATTGATGGAATCTATCTAAAAATAATAAGAACTATTTATGATACAGCCAGTATCATACAGAATAGGCAAAAACTGGAAGCATTCACTTTGAAAACCAGCACAAGACAAGGAAGCCCTTTCCCACCACTAGTATTCAACACAGTGTTGAAGTTCTGGCCAGGGCATTATGCAAGATAAAGAAATAAAGCATATTCAATTAGAAAAAGAAGAAGTCAAATTGTCTCTGTTTGCAGATGACATGATTGTATATTTAGAAAACCCCATCATCTCAGCCCAACATCTCCTTAAGCTGATAAGCAACTTCAGCAAAGTCTCAAGATACAAAAGTAATGTACAAAATTTACAAGCATTCCTATACACCAATAACAGACAAACAAAGAGCTAAATCATGAGTGAACTCCCATTCACAATTGCTACAAAAAACAATACAACACCTAGGAATATGACTTACAAGGGATGTGAAGGACCTCTTCAAGGAGAACTACAAACCACTGCTCAAGGAAATAAGACAGGACACAAACAAATGGAAAAACATTCCATGCTCATGGATAGAAAGAATCAGTACTGTGAAAATGGCCATACTGCCTGAAGTAATTTATAGATTCAATCCTATCCCCATCAGCCTACCACTGACTTTCTTCACAGAATGAGAAACAACAACAACTTGAAATTTCATATGGAACCCAAAAAAGCCTGTATAGCCAAGGCAATACTAAGCAAAAAGAACAAAGGTGAATGCATCATGCTACCTGACTTCAAACTATACTACAAGCCTCCAGAAATAAAAACAGCATTGTAATGGTACCAACACAGATATATAGGCCTATGGAACAGAACTGAGGCCTTAGAAATAATACCACACATCTACAACCATCTGATCTTTGACAAACCTGACAAAAACAAGCAATGGGGAAAGGATTCCTTATTTAATACATGGTATTGGGAAAACAGGCTAGCCATATGCAGAAAGCTGAAACTGGATCCTTTCCTTACACCTTACACAAAAATTAAATCTAGATGGTATTAAAACTTAAACGTAAGACCTAAAACCATAAAAACCCTAGAAGAAAACCTAGGCAATACCATTCAGGACATAGGCATGGGCAAAAACTTCATAACTGAAACACCAAAAGAAATGGCAACAAAAGCCAAAATAGACAAATGGGACCTAATTAAACTAAAGAGCTTCTGCACAGTGAAAGAAACTATCATCAGAGTGAAGAGGCAACCTACAGAATTGGAGACAATTTTTGCACTCTATCCATCTGACAAATGACTAATAGCCAGGATCTACAGAGAATTTAAGGAAATTTACAAGAAAAAAACAACCCCATTGAAAAGTAGGCAAAGTATATAACCAGACACTTCTCAAAAGAAGACATTTACGCAGCCAACAAACGTGTTTTTTAAAAAAGCTCATCATCACTGGTCGCATGATTAAAAAAAAAAAAAAGCTTCATCATCATTATAGAAATGCAAATAAAAACCACACTGAGATACCAGTTCACACCAGCTAGAATGGCGATCATTTCAAAGTCAGGAAACAACAGATGCTGGAAAGGATGTGGAGAAATAGGAATGCTTTTATACTGTTGGTGTGAGTGTAAGTTAGTTCAACCATTGAGGAAGACAGTGTGGCAATCCCTCAACAATCTATAACTAGAAATACCATTTGACCCAGCAATCCCATTACCGAGTATATACCCAAAGGATTATAAATC